TTTTTTTTTTTTTTTTTTTTTTTTCTCCTACAGGGGGCCGGGGGTCGACAACCCTGGTGGTGACGTGAAGTTGTCACGTCCAAAGTGGTTGAAGCCGATAAGGTAGTTGAAGTCGTCGAGGTGGTCGATGACGTCAATGGAGTAGGAGTCGAGTCGATGTCGAAGCAGAGCCGCAAAATGCTGACATCCTGAAAAAGTTGATGATGGAGTACCTGATAATGTGAGTCAGTAGGGAGATAGTAGGTGATCAGAGTATCAATCGTCGAGACGCTGAGGGCGTCGACGAGTGCGCTGTGGACGCGCCCATCTGCTCTTGAAGAACGGCCTCAGAGGGAGCGGGCTTGTCCTTAGCGATCTCCTCAGCCGGAAGAGGAGGAAGAGGGTCGGTCGGCTGAGTAAGAGCAGATGTCTCAACACGACGAGCACGATCATATGCACGCACCAACATCCGAGCGTGCTCCAAGTGCTCGAGGGGCTCCCAAGTAGCTTCCTCATCATGATAGCCCTTCCAACGCATAAGGTACTCGATGAGTGGAGGGGTATCGTCAGTAACTCGGCGAGATACGATGTCGGAAATGACGAACTCCTCGTGACCGTCCCCAGGATAGGTGGAGGGCACTCATAAGGGCGTCCAGCGAAGGACGCAGCAAGGAGGCGTGGTAAACATCGTGTACGCGAGTCTGTCGAAGGTAATCAGGTAGCTTCACATGGAAGCTAATCGGACTAGCAGGAGTATCAGAACCGGCGGCCTGAAGGATGCGGCATGAACCGAAGAAACGACGCCTGAACTTGTGAAGCTTATCCGCTTTGAGCTGCAAATGGCGTGTGTTGACAACACATCGTCACTGACTTTGAATGGGTGATTCATTTGTGATCGGTTTGCTCGTGCGGCCATGCGAGTCTGAGAGTCAGCTAGACTCTCGTGTGCGCGCTTCATAATCGCCGCCATGTGGGCGATCCAGTCGTTAAGCGCAGGACAACAAATTTCGGCAGCACCTCGTTAACCCCATGGGGTCAAAATGTGTGCCGAAAGGAAGAATGACCAAGTCCTAATCAGATTTGAGGATGCCGCAAGAAATTCAAATTTTCAAAATAAATAATAAAATAAAATAAAATTAATCAGAAAATGAGAAAAGAAGGTGGGGAATAAAATAATTTGAATTTTTGGAGAAAAATAGGAGATTTAAATCAACGAGAAAAAGAAAAGAAGAAAAACAGAAAAATTCGAAGTTGGGGGGGGAGGGGGATGAAAGAGTGATGAAGAAAGAGAGAAATAGATGAGAGAGAGAGAAGGAGTGAAGTATGGGGAGATGATGGGGTTATAGTTGGGGGGGAAAGAGGGAGAGAAGGGTGGTAGAATGGGAGAGAAGGATATGGGAAAGGTGGAGAGGAGTAGATGAGATTAGTAAAAGATGGTGAGTGGGGAGGAGAGGAGAGAAAAATGGTTGTGGAAGACGAGTGAAGAGGGAGGTAGGAGGAGGGAGTAGTGGTAGGGTTAGAAAGGATGAGTAGATGACGGGTCAGAGCACTACCAAGATCCACAGGATCTTGGCCTTCAAGATGACAATGATGATAATGTTTCAGGGTTGGTTGAAATCTTGATCAACCACCCTACGGCCACAGTTGCACAGCCCACTAGCCAGGGGGGAATCTTGAAGTGCTACCAAACTGTTGCTGCAGCAGTGAAAAAATAGTGAAAATATATATATATATATATCGTCAAATAGAACTGCCCGGTAAACCGTAGGCAGAGAGGGAGAAGAGGACAACAAACGAGGGGCTGTGACAAACTGTTTCGTCGGAGTTTCACCGACTCATCAGGATATATATATATATATGTATATGGAGCAGCCCCCTAGCCAGGGGGGTCTTCAACCTCCATAGCAGTCTGCCACGTGGCACTGCAGATGGCCACGTGCTGCTGTC